TAAAGAAGCCGAAAACCACAGAGGAAAATAAGAAGGAAAGTAAAGGGTGATATAATAATGAAAGATAGAGGATATTCTAGGAAGGAGTGATCCATAGTGTTATATACTGTTGAGAAATCAAATATGATAAAAATTTAGATTAAGTAGTAGTGAATCATTGGTGACCTAGGACAGGAGAAGGAACAGAGTAGTGATATTATAAACCAAATGTCAGTGGATTTGAGGAAAAATTGGGACTGAAAAGACAGAACAACAGATATAAACCTTTTTTTTTTTTTTTTTTTTTACCAAGAGTTTGACTCTGGATGGGAAGAGAGAGATCAGTCATCAAGGCATATGGGGTGGATGGAGAAATTTTTTCCTTGTGAATGGGACAATTTTGAGTATACTTACAATGGTGTTAACCAGCCACAGAGATCTTGTGGTTGGGAGGATATTTGAAGGGTCCTGGATTCTAAACTATGAGATTCTCACATACAAAATTGCCATTGGTAGAGGTCAAAAGTGGTCATGAATTGACATTTTCATATGGTTAAGCCTAGTAGATCCGGAAACTTGGACACACTATAGGCATCCTCTTAGAGTATGAATGGATATAGGCAGGTTTGTTGGTTTGCTGTCAGGAAGTTGAAGGAGTTTCCATCTAATTAATGAATCACATTAGTAGAAACATGAGAGGACAGGTGGTGAGAATTGAAAATTTGAAGAGGCTGAAAGAGTGGAAATAGTCATTGTGGCAAATGGGAGTACAGACTAAGGGGATGTAATAGGAATGCTGATTAGAGCTCAGTCCTCAGATGAACTGGCGTCTCTTGGAAATTTGTGAATTTTCTGTAGCATTCCTCAGTGGTCTGAGCAGGGATGTGTCATTGTTCAGACAGTCATAGACTCTCTAGAATTTATCGAGGTATGAATGATGAAAGAAACACAGGACAGTAGAATTTAATGGAGTTCGGCATCATTAAAAAATTTGTTGAGGAACTCCTGGACGGCTCTGTTGGTTAAGCATCAGCTTTTGGCTCAGGTCACAATCCCAAGGTCCTGGAATTGAGCCCTGATTCAGGCTCCCTGCTCAGCAGGGACTCTGCTTCTCCTTCTCCCTTTTCCCCTCTCCCCTGCTCATGCTCTCTCAAGTGCCCTTTTCTCTCTCTCCAGTAAATAAATAAAATGTTTTTAAAAATTTGTTGAAATCATGAACATAAAGGTCATTAAAAAACAAAAAAGAACGTGTGTGTGTGGGTGTATGTATGTTTTGGGGGTGGCAACTAATGGGTATAAAGAATTAATAGTAGACCATGTGACTCTTATTCTCAGGATTATAAATTTGGGCCCCACGTTGGGTATAGAGATTATTTTAAAAATAAAATCTTAAAAAAAAGAATTTACAGATTAGAGGAGCCAATGAATAAAAAAATACTCTTACACATTAGAAGTAACTAAAGCTTTAAGAAGGAAGGTTAGGATAGAGATAGTTGTCCAAAGTTATGATTCACAAAGAGTAATTCCAAGTCATGACAAAGTCTAGGGTGTGGACATGAGAGTAATATTTGAAGAGAATATTATAGAGATTAGGAGATCAAGGAAATAAATGACTAGAGTGTTGCATATCAAGCGCATGGGCACTGATGTTACCTAGAGTAGATGTGATACTTGAAGTAGAGAAAGATGGGGAAGCAAGTACCAGTCTTCAATAAAGTGGGGGGCATAATCATAATCATAATCATAATCAGATCCATAAGAACTGCCATGAGGAAAGAAAGGGGACAGAGAGTAAATTGTGTGAACCTCAGAGGAACAAGGAAGTTTGCAAGGGCATTTACAGGGATGTGGAGGGCAATGGTCCCCGGTGGCATTAGAGAGTGAGGAGGACAAAGACTAAATCTTCAGTAATAAACCCTTAGTTGAGATGGTTGTAAAAAATAAAGTATCCTATGGAAAGAAATATATTTCAGTTTTCTAAGGGTATAGAGAATATGCAAAGAAAAAAATTTAGGATGTAGAGCAGTTTGTTAATCAAGGAACGCCATTCCAGAAATTGTGAAAGTGCAAAAGATAACTTCTCCTAAGGAAACAATTTTGAATGTGTGCCAAAATCAGCCAGAAGGATGTTCCTTATAATAGTGTTGTTTACAATATATCTGTCCATTTTACTAAGATTGAAAAATAAAAAATAGAAGTTTAATGATAATCTAGCACGCCATTTTCCTATAAAAATGTTTAACCATAGAAAAACAGATGTTTGTATCTTATTAAGTCTTATTTTTAAAAAATATATCAAAAAGAAAATACAAATGTATATCCATGTATATTGTGTGTGTGTTCCAATGAAACTTTAATTGCTTTTTAAACTTGGAATTATGCTACTTCAGAGATATTAATTATTCCTTCTCAGATTAGCGGCCATCTGTTGTCTCATTATTTTTCTTTTTTTCTTTTTTTGTATCGTGTCCTTGTCTTACATTGATAGTGCTGAATTCCTAGAGCCCCAGGCACTATTACAGAAAATAGGGACATATGCCATTTAAATGACAACTTTAGTTTCCAAATTAAAAATCACCGGACATAGTCTTTTTATGCCTATTGTATGAAACACAGACTTGATTTAATGTGGGAAAGAACTTAAAACCCATCAATGGGTATGACTATATGAAAAGACTCTTGGTGGTTGCCAGAAGCTGTAAGGAAGATGGGGAGAAATGAGTGAAGGTGTCAAAAGGTACATACTTCCAGTTATAAAGTAATTAACTCATGGATATATAAATTACAGCAAGGCAACTATATTGTATGTTTGGAAGGTACTAAGAGAGTGATCTTAAAAGCTCTTATCACAAGAAAAAATTATAACTGTGTGGCAGTGGATGTTAACTAGACTTATTGTGGTGGTCTTGTCATAATATAGGCAAATATCAAATCATATTGTGCACCTGAAACTAATGCAATGCTATATATCAATTATATCTCAATTAAAAAAGACTAATATCTCTGTGAGGCAAAGAGAAATGTAAAATTATTCAAAGCCTCATTGTAGGAATATGATAATCCAAGGAATCTATTCCATAGTTACTCGGTTTTCGGAAAGAAAACAATGACAAAAAATTATAAATGTATTTACACCTATTTATATCACTACATCTAAATACAGAGTGGCTTACTAGATGGGTAAACAAAATATTTCTGTGTAAAAAAGAATCTCTGAACATGATATGAAATCCAATTACATGCTTAGCATGGATGCTGATGTGGGGCTCAATCTCAAGACCCTGAGATAATGACCTGAGCCAAAATCAATAGTTGTATACTTAACTGACTGAATGAGCCACTCAGGCACCTCAGTACATAGTAATTTTTGAGGAAATATAGGATTATTAAAGAAATTGAAGAGCAAAAAGAGGGGAAAAATAGGATTAATGGAATTACCTTTATTGTATGGAATCACCACTTTTTTCCCTACAGAATGGAGATACTTTTAAGTAAAAATAAAAATAATATTAATAATGATCATCATCTTACTTCTGTTACATTCCATTTAAAAAGCAATCCTAATATGTTTCAATTTTAGAAATAGTATCAATTAAATGTGAAAAGTTGTTTTTGTTCCTTTATTTTGTTCCTTTGCCTTTTAACAAGATAAACCTATTAGCTTGTGGATCTACGGTGAGGAGCCAGAAAGGGGAACATTTTGAATGATTGGAGAGAATTAAATCTGTTGGGGGATTGTGATTCAGAAATCCACAGATGCTTAATTGAGTTTTATAAATAACATCCAATTATTACCAACAAAGGATATAGTGGAATTCTAAACAACATTAGAAAAGACTTTTGTAATTCCCTCATTATCTTGAGTTATTTGTACTAATTGACTCATATTTTTACAGAAAGAATTAATATTCAAAATATTAAAAAATACAGAACAGATTAGATGGGAGTGGGAACAAAAAATATCTAAGATTTATTTTCTATAGACTTCATTCTAAGTCTATTAAAATACAAAAATTTTAGGATTATTTATTTGCTCTTACTTTCTTTTGATATTCTTACGTATAAGTTGTTCTTATATTGTTCTTTAAGGTTTTTTAAAGAGATTTTATTTAGTTATTTGACAGAGAGAGTACACATGTGCACCAGCAGTGGAAGCAGGAGAGGGAGAAGCAGGAAGCCCCATGCAGGGATCATGACCCGAGCTGAAGACAATTAACTGACTGAGCTACCCAGGCACCCCTAAAGTTTTTATTTATTTTATTTTATTTTTTAAAAGATTTTACTTTTTTATTCATGAGAGACACACAGAGAGAGGCAGAGACAGAGGGAGAAGCAGGCTTCCATGGACAGACTGATGTGGGACTTGATCCTAGGACCCCGGGATCAAGACCCGAGCCAAAGGCAGACACTCAACCACTGAGCAACCCAGTTGCCCTAAAGTTTTATTTTTAAAAAGCAAAGGACTTCTCAAAGGACGTTAAGATTCTTATTCATTTTTTGGAGTTTTAATGTTTATCAATTTCAGAATCAGGGTAAAATACAATACTCCCTATACAGTTTGTATATTTCTGTTCTCTTCAATGTGTCAATTAAATGTAAAATTTAGAGAGATCACAAATGGCATTATATATCCTAGAGTCTGGATTACCACATCCTTCCACTCCTACAAACTTCCATAATGTTACTTCAGGCTCTGTTTTTCCTTCCCTTTCCTCTCTGTGATTATCTCATTTTCACGTTAAAAATTCCAATTAAAATCCAACTTTTTAAATTTTTCAAATCCTAAGTATGAAATTGTTAGCAAGGATACCTGAAATAAAAAGATTACTATGACTAGTAATAATCATACTAGTCAATCATTATTACTAGTAGTAATAATGACTACATTATTTTCTTTAACAACTTATTAGGTTAAATTTAATTTTTAAAAACCTGTTAAATTCCCAATTCAGGATAATTTTCAGAATTAGGGACCACAACCTAAAACAACTTTTTCAAACAGGAAATCAAGTTAAACTTACTGATACATCATACGCTGCTGGGAACGCAAACTCCTCCACTTCAGTGTTGCTTGTGCTTTCTTGTCAGATGAATGGCATCCTGGGCATTCCTTCAGATTTGTAAGCTGACTTAAAAAATGCTTAAGGATTTAGAATAAACTAGTTTAACAAGTTGGGATGGGTAAATTTTAACCAATCGTAGAGTTTGGAACAGAGAATCACTTGATAAGTCTTTGTTGCAGGAACTAAGAATTTCCTGGTTCTGGCTAATGAAAATAAATGAGAAACAATATTGCGTTCAAAACCTAAGCAACACCCTTGAAAACTTGGATTTGTCTTTCAAGAGATGTCACTCTTTGTTCTGAGTCACTACAAGTCTGGTCTTCAGGTTCTGTGGTTCATCTTGAAAGGCAAGCATGAAGTACACTCAGAGGTTTCTATAAAACATTTGTTAGTCTTTGACTTCTTTTCTTAGTGCAATAGTATCTGTACTACTATGTGTGGCCTAGTAGTTCATTTTGTGTCCTCGAAAAGGGGTTCCAGCTTTAAGGTAGGAAAATGAAAATGTATTTGAGCCAATTGCCATTTTTAAGGGCTTCACCAGCTAATTATCTTCTCTCCATAGGCTCTCCTTTGTAGCTACAGAGGCATCTAACCTTCTTTGACTTTGGGTTTTCTTTTCTATCTATACAGTCCTTTTCTCCCCATTTGTCTTTGCCCACACATCTAAAATTTCCTTTCCCTTCTTTCTAGCATCGTTCTCAATTCAAAATTCACCTGGCTGTAAGATTCAAGGAATTTAACCAGAATCTGTCTAAATAGCGTCCATAGACTTTGAAAACCTACACTCTAAGATGACTCCTCCAGGAGGATATCCTCTGGTTTGCCTGGCTCTCACACCATCTGAATAACCCCTAATCCATGCTTTCCCTTCAGGCCAGCATCTAGTTTTAGTTTTGTTAATTCTCAGGTCTATAAATCCACTTCTCTCTAATGTTAGAGAGTGAAAGATTTGAGGCCAGAAATTTTGATGTCTCCTAATACACCTACCGGAACCTCTGCAAACACTTTGACCTTCGGTACTTACTTTCTTTTAGTCAATTTGACAATCTATATTCTCGTATTTCCATCCCTCTTTTGTTTTGAAAGTTTTGCCAAAACAGGAACATATAATTACAATCAATCAATGAACATATGGACAAAATGTTCAAATTAGCTAATAAAGTTTTATATCTTTGTCAATTTTTATATTAATGTGTAACAAAATACTATAAACTAAGCCACTTAAAACAACAACCACTTATTATCTATTTTTATTCTGCACATCAGAAATCCAGACAAGCTCAACTTTGTTCTCTGCTTACTGTCTCAAGGGCTGAAAGCAAGGCGTGAGCTTAGCTGGGTTCCTTTGAAGAGGCTATGATGAGAAATCATGTCCCAGCTCATTCAGTTCATTGGCAGAATTAAGTTCCTTGCAGAAAGACTAAGTTCCTTATTTCTTTGCTGCCTGTCAGCTGGGGCTGCCCTGCTTCTAGAGGCTACCTGCAATCCTTGATGCATGGTACTTTCCATCTTCAAGCCAGCACTAGTGCATCTTCTCACATTTACAATCTCTGACATTTCTCCTACCAGGAAAAGAAAATGTTCTACTTCTGAAGGATTAGATTAGACTTACCTGGTAAATCTCTTTTTAAATTAATTCAGGGTTAACTGGTTAGTAACCTTAATCATATCTACCAAATTCCTTTTGTCATGTAACATCATCATGGATGTACCTCATCTTATTCACAATGAGATCAAGGCAGAAGATCTTGGAGGACCATTTTAGAATTTCTGCCTACTTGCAACTCTAAAAGAAAATATTTTTTTCTTTTTTTTTAAGATTTTGTTTATTTATTCATGAGAGACACACAGAGAGAGGCAGAGACATAGGCAGAAGGAGAAGCAGGCTCTTTGCAGGAATCCTGATGGGAGACTCAATCCCTGGACCCTAGGATCACACCCTGAGCCAAAGGCAGACACTCAATCACTGAGTCACGCAGCCATCCCGAAAATATTGTTTTCTATCTTTTAAACTATATGATGAATACTGTTGGTCAATTTTAATGAAAATTTAACATCATTTACTCCAAGGATATGGTCAGTTGGTACAACAGTTTCAGAAAGCAAACTTGCTAATATGATAAGAAGGGAAAACATCTATGCAAAAGGATTCATTTGTGTATATAACATTACAGTGTATTTAAAGCACTAGAAGTACCTTTTTAAAAACTGAAGGGAAGAAACCAAGATGAGAGATTAAAATGGAAAATAGGAAGAGAAGAATCATGAAATTTTTGTGCATGAAGAAATGGAGTTTTTTTTTTTTTTTTACCCCATAGGTCAGGAGTTCTTAATTTCTTTTTATGCCATGAGCATCTTTGGTTGTCTGGTGAAGACTATGGATCCCTTCTCATGATATTATTTTTTAGATGCATAACATAGAATATACAGAATTCTAAAGAAGCCAACATATAGCAATATTGTTACTGGAAATTTTAAAAATTTGTGATGGAGTAATAAATATGCTTTTCTATTAACATAGTAAATCACAGGATATAGCAATGTTGAATAACATAATTTGTTGTAATGAGCATAAACTAAACATATGTTGATACATATGTAATAATTTAAATGAAAGAAAGGTATCTCTTTTGGCGACAAAGTCATTGATACTATACTAGGTTATGTTACTATTTTTATTTTTGTTTGAGTTTTTTTTGCCTATTTTATAATAGAAATAGTCAACTTCTTTAAAAGTTAATAAAAATAAAGTTAAGATTTATTTTCTATCCAAGTTTTGGACACTGTATTAAGTATCTCTTCTGTAGAAGATGGAGAAATAAGTATTTGAAACAGAAGTGCATGATAATGGACTAGAGGACACCATGATTGAAGAAGGCAGATCATTTTGAGGTTCTTCAAAAAATCCAGATAAAAGATGATGGAAGTGGAATAGAAGTTAGAGTCATTTAGTTTTATAAGTTCAAGGAATTGAGGCAAGGTGTGGGTCATCACTTGGATGTTGAAATTGACCACAATGAAGACAAGAGTTAGAGAGGGTTATTTTAGCAAACAGTACCTCAGTAAATATGGGGAGTGATCAAGAGGTTGGCAGTGATTAGGAGGGGCAATATACAGTATAGCTAGAGCATGAGCCTATGTACTAAAAATACTATGTTTTTATATTAGTGTGTAGCAGTAATTGTTGGAAAACTATACAAGTATTTGGAAGCTTTTAGTTATATGTTGCAAGAATTTTGACTCTAGAGAAAAAGAGCAATCACGTGAGAGGCTGCCCGTGAGGAGACGTGTTAGATGGGGACATTCAGTCTTCAGTAAGATGGTGGGGGGACATTCTGTGAAGAGGCTGAAGATCTAAGAATATTTTAATAAAAATAAATAAGGAGGCTGAAGATCTGGGAATATTTTAATAAAAAGAAGCAAGTTGGTTCTCAGTGGAACCAACTGAGAAAGAGGATAGTAGAGAAATGTTAAACCAGGAGGGAAGACAAAGAGCAATATGAGGAGACGTAGAAGAAGCCACAGGCATAAGGTGAAAGAAACAAAGGTGGAAAGGATGGGTGATTACAGGGCTCTTCTTGGTTCAGTACTTAGAGGGTTCATGAAGGATGCCTTAGTTTATAGTTCATGAGCTTGGTATAAAATTTAGTTGATAGCAGGCAAACCTGTCTTTCTGGGCCAGGTCTCTGTAGTGTAACTATTTGATGTGGCAACTCAAAGATAGCGATTAAAAAATGATGATTACAACATAGTACTAGGAGTCCTAGCCTCAGCAATCAGACAACAAAAAGAAATAAAAGGCATTCAAACTGGCAAAGAAAAAGTCAAACTCTTCTGCTTTGCAGATGACATGATACTGTACATAGAAAACCCAAAAGACTCCACCCCAAGATTGCTAGAACTCATACAGCAATTCAGCAATGTGGCAGGATACAAAAATCAACGTCCAGAAATCAGTGGCATTTCTATGAGACTGAAGAAAGAGAAATTAAGGAGTCAATCCCATTTACAATTGCATCCAAAAGCAAAAGTACCTAGGAATAAGCCTAACCAAAGAGGTAAAGGATCTATACCCTAAAAACTATAGAACACTTCTGAAAGAAATTGAGGAGGACACAAAGAGATGGAAAAATATTTCATGCTCATGGATTAGAAGAATTAATATTGTCAAAACGTCTATGCTACCCAGGCAATGTACATGTTCAGTGCAATCCCTATCAAAATACTATGGACTTTCTTCACAGATTTAGAACAAATAATCTTAAGATTTGTGTGGAATCAGAAAAGACCCTAAATAGCCAGGGGAATATTGAAAAAGCAAAGCAAAGCCAGGGGCATCACAATGCCAGATTTCAAGCTGTACTACAAAGCTGTGATCTTCAAGACAGTGTGGTACTGGCACAAAAACAGACACATAGATCAATGGAACAGAATACAGAATGCACAAATGGGCCCTCAACTCTATGGTCAACTACTATTCGACAAAACAGGAAAGACTATCCACTGGAAAAAGGACAGTCTCTTCAATAAACGGTGTTGGGAAAATTGGACAGCCATGTGCAGAAGAATGAGAAACTAGAGCATTCTCTTACACCATACACAAAGATAAACTCAAAATGGATGAAAGATCTAAATGTAAGACAAGAATCCATCAAAATCCTAGAGGAGAACACAGGCAACAACCTTTTCACTTGGCCACAGTACCTTCTTGCAAAATACCTCTATGAAGGCAAGGGAAACAAAAACAAAAATTAACTATTGGGACTTAATCAGGATAAAAAGCTTCTGCACAGCAAAAGAAACAGTCAACAAAACTAAAAGACAACCTACAAAATAGGAGAAGATATTTGCAAATGACCTATCAGATAAAGGGCTAGCATTGAAGATCTATAAAGAACTTATTAAACTGAACAGCAAAGAAACAATCCAATCATGAAATGGGCAAAAGACATGAACAGAAATTTCACCAAAGACATAGACATGGCCAACAAGCACATGAGAAAATGCTCTGCATCACTTGCCATCAGGGAAATACAAATCAAAACCACAATGAGATACCGCCTCACACCACTGAGAATGGCAAAAATTAACAAGACAGGAAACAACAAATGCTGGAGAAGATATGGACAAAGTGGAACCCTCTTGCACTGTTGGTGGGAATGTGAACTGGTACAGCCACTGTGGAAAACTGTGGAGGTTTCTCAAAAGTTAAAAATAGAACTACCCTAAACTCAGCAATTGCACTACTGTGGGTATTTACCTCAAAGATAGTGTAGTGAAACACTGATGTAGTGAAACACTGGGACACCTGCACCCCAATGTTCATAGCAGCAATGTCCACAATAGCCAAACTATGGAAAGAGTCACAATGTCCTTCAACAGGTGAATGGATAAAGAAGATGTGGTCTATAGATACAATGGAATATTACTCAGCCATCAGAAAGGACAAATACCCACCATCTGTTTCAACTTGGATTGAAATGAAGGGTATCATGCTGAGTGAAGTAAGTCAGTTAGAGAAGGACAAACATTATATAGTTTCACTCATACGGGGAATGAAAGAAATAGTGAAAGAGAGTATAAGGGAAAAGAGGGGAAAAGAGTGGGAAATATCAGAGGGTGAGAAAACATGGGAGACTCCTAACTCTGGGAAACAAACAAAGGGTTGTGGAAGGGGAGGTGACTGGGGGTATGGGGTGACTGGGTGACAGGCACTCAGGGGGATACTTGATGGGGTGAGCACTGGGTGTTATACTATATGTTAGCAAATCGGACTTCAATTTAAAAAAATGATGATTATATCAAACCACATAGTCATTGAAAAATGTATAATATAATCTCAGATGAAAAAACAACATAATTTTATATATGCTGTGTGTCAACTTTTTAAACTGTATGTAAGAATTTATAAGGATTGGAAGATTTTTAAAAATAGAAATAGTTAAGCTGATACAATTATGTGCCCTCTCTCTCTCAAAAAGTATTAGTTATTATGTTCCTGTAGTATTTTTTAAGGGGATATATCAATCATCCATTTCTTTTACTTTAAAAAAATACTTTTTTTTGGTAGTCCAACTATTATTACTATTTTAGTCCTCAAGGCCATGTTCCCCTGCAACCTGCTGATAAATCTGTTAAAAGACAAAACAACAACAAAAAAAAGATTTTTAAAAGTCAGATCATTATAGCTACAATCCCTGACTCTGCAGTTAAAACATGTCAATCTGTTCTTACCTGTATCACTTTATAACCCTTGAGCAAGTTATTAACATAAGCTTAGGCTTCCCTCAACCAAGGGGAACAAGAATATGTAGCATAACCACAGAATCTTAGTGTAAACTAACATGGGTTTAGTAATTCAGAATAATCAGATTTTAAGACACCTGGTGAAGGGACTGGAAAGTTGGTTGGAGACTTGGGATATATGATGACATTGGTTCCTGAAAATTAAATTGCCTTTCACTTGGAAAACTGTATGTTTGATAGTTGACTTCCTGCTGGTTCAGACAATGATATGCAATCACTTGTACACAGCCAATAAAATATTTCAGAAGCAAAAAAAAAAAGGCCTTTAGTCCTTGAGTCCAACTATTATTATTATTATTATTCACTTTTCTCTGAAACTTTTATCAAGTAGCCGTTGCTTAATATCTGTCTTTCCAAAAGCTTCTCTTTTACTTTCAGATTCTATTGATGTTTAAATTCTCCTTTTCTTCATGGCATCTCAGCCTGTTCATTCAACTTCCTAATGCTCTTTTCCTAAGAATTATCCCTTGTAGGACAAACACTAATGGATTGAACATTTATCCCCAAAATTCAGGAGTCTCCACATAGATCTAAACAGGAAAATATTTGTTTGAGGTTTAGCAAAAAGTGCTTGTTTTGAATACTGTGAAAGATTTCAAAGGTGAAGTAAGCATCACTGAGAGTTATTTGAAATAGGGTCAGGAAGACACTCAGGAGGCAGGCCTATGCTTGCCTCCTCTTTCAATTTTGGTGACACCATGGACTTTTTACTTTTGTCAGCTGCAACTTGTCAATTGCTCCTGGCCCACCCTCTGGAACACATCTTTCTACTTTGGACCAAAATAGAGATATTGTAACACCTCTTAGCTAAATAGTCAATAAATGTGTTACATAATTTAGCTCTGTCAGCACCAAGCATAATTCCTTCAAAACAAGTTAAGTAACCTTGTGGTTTTTGCCTTTGTAACTGCATTCCCCTGCTTACAGTCCGGAGCACATTTTCAGTTTCTGTCCACTCTGTCTCCTGGATTGCATTTCCTAAGACCCCTCAAAAACTATTTTGGTTGCTTTATAACCTCTTCTTTTTGGTCGATTATACAGATGATGAAAAGTGGTTCTTAGGGATGCCTGGGTAGCTCAAGTGATTGAGCATCTTTGGCTCAGGTCTTTGGCTCAGGTCATGATCCTGGGGTGCTGGGATCAAGTTCCGCATCAGGCTCCCAAAAGGGAGTCTGCTTCTCCCTCTGCCTCTGTCTTGACTCTCTCTGTGTGTCTCTCGTGAATAAATAAATAAAATCTTTTTTTTTTAAAGAAAGAAAGTGGTTATTAAAACCATTAAGAAGGCAGTCCCATGCATTTATGAAATTTCTCTCTGGAAATATTTGAAAAGTGGGCATCTGAACATCTTTTACAGAGAACACCTAAGTTTGGGAGTAGAAAGAGAAGAAAATCTAACAGGATGATCTCCTTTTCTGTGAAACCACATTTTTAAATAAAAGGTGGGACATAGATTCTGACAATAGAACAAAGTGTATAAAAATAGAACTTCACAGGAAAGCTAGACAACTGCTTCGCATTCTCTTTATTGCATAGCTTTGTTACTTACAGAACTTTTAATAATCCAGGATATAGACTAAAATGTTACAAAGCAGAGTTTTAAAAATATACTTTGTTAAATGCTTACTTTGGACTACTTTTCTTATTTTCCATGGTCAACTATATAATAACTTTTAAAAGTAATTTTAAATATTTGAGCACAGAGTCCAATGGGGAGCTTGATCTCATGACCCTGAGATCATGACCTGAGCTGAAATCAAGAGTCAGACGCTTAACTGACTGAGCCTCCCAGGTGTCCCTGGATTATAAAGCTATTAAGTGAAAAACCATTTCATTTGCCTATTTTTCTTTTTGCAATAAATTAATATTAAAAATAATGTATTTGAGTTGTATTATATGCTATTTCTTTTCAAGAAAATGCTAAATATAATTTCAACAAAACAATAGTATTTGCAAACTATGCAAAGTGATAGTATGGATAAATGAAAACGGTAACACAATATAAAAACATAACGACAATCTTAGTGCAAGTTTGTCATCAGTTGTGTGATCAGTACCTAGTAATATATTTTGCACTTTTCAAACAAGCTTTAAACATGTTCTGACTTTTGGATGTTATTATTCAACAGGGAAGTTTCATAAATATCATGAGGTAGATAGGTCAATGTCTCATTGCAGAGATTGAAGGCAGTAGGAAATAAAGTTTTATTAGTTTTTAATTGTATGATATGATTGCATTACTTTCATTCTCATTAGCTACAATTAAAACTTAAAGACAAAGAAAATATTGAAACCTGTAAAAGAATATTTATTGTAGGTATGTACCAAAACAGCTTAATCAAAATTTTTAATATACTACATTTTCGTGGGCTTTCTGTAGCTTTATCTGTTTATAAAACAGATTTTCTGAGGCAGTAAAAAGAGGAAAGCGAAAAATAGACATTTGTTGTTTAGTAGAGTTCAAAATCTTTTGCTACTCCTCACTTAAAAATAGTATAGAATTTTCATTTCTACCATATTAAAGGTTTAAATTACTGTCAGTTAACCAGTTCTGGAGCTTTGCCTCATAAAAATTACCCTCATTTCTTTAGGTATAGTTGGGTCTACTTTTAAGTGGTGGTATTTATCCTAGTTGTAAAACTGTTTTCATCCAATGATGCTTTGCTGAAAACCATGTGAATTTAACTTACCTCACTGTTGTTTTGTTTTGTTTTGCTTTGTTTTTGCATGGAGAAACACTGGATTGCAACTATCTAACTCCAGTGACTTCTAGAACTGCAATATTCCTGGCTGGTGACACCTGCATAACTCAGATGAGAGTAGTGGGAAGAACACTGGACTGGCCGAGGGTTGTTTTTCGTTTTCATTATTACATGAAGGAATGCCTTAAACACAGCGCCCCCCAAAACAAACATATTAACAACGTGACAGATTTATTCAGTTGAAAAGGGTAGATTCCCATTAATATATTTTTGTTCTTATTGTTGTTGAACTACGATTTTTACTGAGAGATGGTTAAATATTGCAAAAATTTTGGTCCAATCTTGTTCTAGCACTAAAACTAACCCTTTAGTTTTCATGGCACCCCAAATTCCATCAGGATTCTACAGGGATTTTGTGCTGTATTGTTTACTGTCAGTTTAATAGATTTGACCTGTCTTTCAAACAATGCATCAAACAAATTGTAGTTTTTTTTAAGACATGAATATTACTATAACATTTACAACACGAGGCAAAACCAGGTTTGCTTTTTTAAAAACCACAATATTTTTGCAAAATTCATAAGGCAATACTATTGATAAATAAAAATGTCAATACTGTAAAAAAAACACACTTTTTTACAATCCATGTATTTGCAGCAGCGTCTGTACTGATAACAGTTTACAATAATACATTTTGCATTTTTTTGCAGGCTTTAAACATTCTTCAACTTTTCAACTTACTCAACAAGAAAGCCTCACAACAATGCCAGGAGGTAGATCATTTAATATCTCATTTGATAGATGGAAAACATGAGGTAAAAGGTATTGCATGATTCCTATAACAACACTCAATAGGTCAGATAGCAAGCTAAAAACATTTTTAAAAATCTATTTTTCCATTTCTCAGATTTACTTATGGCCTTTTGTACTTATTCCTCTCATTTGAATTAAAATATCTTGAATTGAATTGAGCATTGATTATCTAAGTCAGTGTACAGTTTCACAGATACATGCAAAAAAGCTATCAATCTTATGAAATGTAAATATAGCTACACAAAAGCATATATTCATTGTTATAGAACTTACACAGTAGAGATTTATTTATTTTATATACAGATTTGTTTTCCTGTTTTTAACAAAGATTTTGTTTAGCTTTAATATAAAAAGGTCAGTCTTGAATCAAATATTTCTTAAATTTACTAAATATTCTCTAGAAAGCTTTGGGTGTTTCTCTGCATATAGAAGAAACTATAAACATTGAAGTTTTTACTCTGCTCTTCTACTGATGTTTAGTTATTAGTTGTCATCAATTCAGAAATTTGGTGACATTTTCTTTTTAAAAGGAAAGTATACAAGGATGATCTTTTGTGTTTATTGTATTATAATATCAAGATGTAAATAATAACTAGGAAAACTTTAAAGTTAGATTTATCTTGCTTACATATATTACAGATAAACACACATAAAAATTAACAAAACTTTGTCACTAAAGAAACAGGCTAGATTTTTCTCTGATAAATCAGAACAAATCTAGTACTTGCGGTCTCACATCTGAGCCCTAAGGATGAATACTGCTGCATCTCTAGTCATAACCCTGGTGACAGACGACCATGTACCAGGCAACTGTGTCTATGAGAGACATAGTCGCAAATATACTGAGATATCAAAAATGATTTTAAAAATCGAGTATTTTACTTAGGGTTTTTTTACAGTGTAATTTAAGCATTCTGACATCAAATACATGATTTTAAAGGATAGCTTTTTAAAAGCATATGGTTTCATTGAGTCCAAGGCACATTAATAATAATTAATAGTAGGTAGTCCCTATTGAGATACTTTGTGCAGACACTATTCCAAGCGCTTTGCTTCTATTAATGCATTTAATCCTCATAACAACCATATGAGGTAGACAGTATTTTTATTTCTATTGTAGAGATGAAAGTGCTGATGCACAGAGATGTTAGGAAACTGGTGCAAGGACACACAGTTCATATGTGGCAGAGCCAACATTTAAGCTTGGGCAGGTGGTTCCAAAGCCTGTGTCTCTCTTTTTTTTTTTAAGATTTTATTTATTTATTCATAGAGACAGAGAGAGAGAGGGGCAGAGACACAGGCAGAGGGAGAAGCAGGCTCCATGCAGGGAGCCCGACCAGGGACTCAATCCTGGATCCAGGATCACGCCCTGGGCTGCAGGAGGCGCTAAACCGCTGCGCCCCCGGGCTGCCCCAAAGCCTGTGTCTCTACCACTAGACTCTGGGCTGTATTTAAGCACCAAAGTCATTCACTCATTTGACAAATTAACTTAGTTTATCTTAAAGCTCATGGAGGCATTCCTTTCCTCCATATACAAGGAACATCCACACAGTGCTCAATATACACGAGGTACTGTTCTAAGTGCTTATACAAATCAATTCTCCCAATCTGATAGATATCTGACCTGTCAGAGAACTGAAGACTTACAAAAGCACCAGTTACAATATGCTGATGTAAATATTTCTAAATAAATAATTGGACAGCTCATTCCACCAAAAATCTAAGGAGTATTCTCCCTATTTATCTTTTGAAAACAACCTTGTGTGCCTATGTCCCATTAGTTCTTTTTATATTCTTTGTCCACATGGAAAAATGCTCCCAAGATTCTTCCTTTTTCTTCTTCCTGGCCCAACTTCAACAGATATATTAACAGCAAGATGCTGTTAAAGAATGAATCAAAAATGCTTCTTTAGCAATACAACATGCATCCTGAAGCTAGTGCTTATGTATATAACAATATTAACAATACATTCAGATACACTCAAACATGTTTTAAATGGCAACTCTTCTTGTTAATGATAATCCTTTGTATTATTATTTACAAACCCAGGTTGGAGTTCAAGTTACATTGTAAGTCCATACTTCTCCATTCTAGCCATTGAATGTCCAGCCATTAGTTTTAGAATGTTGAAGCTCTGAATTCTCGGGGAATGATGTTTTGCTACAAGGGTTACAAATGCTCCAGGACATTATATATTAAGTTTTTGGCAGCCTGGGAGCTCCTCATATTCTGTGAAAAAATGATGTTTCTTGTCTTCCATCAGAGGAAAAGATTTGTAAATACTCATCTTATTAATAAGCATCAGTTTCCCTGGTGAAGAGTGAAGAGTTGGTTCAATTGCCATTTGCTGTGTCTTCCTCCCTCAGGGTAGAAAGAGTTCTCTATGCAAAGACCACCTTGTTATATTAAATTAGTCTGAGTCAGAGGATTTCTTGACATCCAGAAAAAAACCTGATCCAAACCACATGACTATAAATAATAGACAACATGCAGGGACTTCAGCTTCGTGTGCCACGGATATAATTCATGGACAATTCACACTAGATGCCAGTCTTTGAAGCAATCCATTCTCGATACTGAGTCACTCTCGTGTAGACCCCAGGTTTTTTGGGCAGAGCACATGACTGTCCCCAACTTACTATACCAACTAAGTACCAGATGTCATGATTATCATAAACCAGTGGTCCACCAGAATCACCCTTGAGAAAAAACAAAAATACATTTAAAATTATTAAATCCAATTTAATTCAGGAATAAAGTCACTGCAATATCTCCCTTCCATGGGGGGGGGGGGGAGGAAATTGGTACATGGAACAGGCAGCCAGACTAGAAATAAATTATATGATGTGTTTCTCTGAATTGAGTTAAAATTTTGTCCAAGACATTAAAGTGCATTGTTTTCTAGAAAGGCTAAACCTCATTCATAAGGAATGGTTACACTATTTCTGGTTCAATATCTTTGGATTTTTTTCTAGTTTGATTAGATAACTTATGCATGATTTAGTAAATACATATATATAAAAGTTAGTATTTGGGAGCATAGGTGGAAAGTTTTGATGATCTCTGAGTAAAGTTAGACTCTATATTATAGACTTTTTTATTCAAATAAGTCTCAATTTTAATAAGATCCTCTACATACACATTTGCTACTAAAAATTGAAATAGCACATCAAAAAAATTACAATTTCTGAAAACCAGAAAAATCTACCTTATGCACACCCTCCCCCAATTATACTCTAACCAAACCACCCCAAGTTTTCTGTGTATTCCTTCTGCACAAGTTACTTGGCTTCCGATTTTTTGATGTTAGGTTTTATCTTAATGACTTTAGGCTTCTCAAACACTTAGGCACACTCAAAACTTAGTAGTGCTTCCTTAGGTCAAATTGAAAAGTGGACATAAACTGACACCATTCAAATGCAAACTACAGGAACTGAAGTCATTCAAATGAAAACTACAGGATTCCTCACAAACTACTAATATCAAACTAGAATAGATACAAGACAGTTTATATCATAGATTACTAAAATATTACAATTTGTCTTAGCATAGAACAGCTTTCCCGAGCTTGGTCTTCTTGTCTTTCATACACCTAATTCTAATTTATGTTTGCTTGTTGGATTTTATATAAGCCCTCTTAAATCTGTTTTGGAACAAGGACAATTAAGTAAATAAACAGATATACATGTAGTGGTTTAAAGTATGGTCTTAGTAATTGAACTGCTAAGTTTCAAGACTAGCTCTGTTAATTGCTGGCTGTGTGACTTATGGTAAGATAATTAACCTCTCTGTGCTTCTTCCACCTCACTCATTTATCCTTTTATCAACTACTTTTATCAAGTATTTACTGAGTTCCAACTGTGTCCCAGGCATCCTGATGGGCATTCAGGATTCATGATGACCAAAAGTAAATGTTCCCTATACTCATAAACTTGAAGTTTAGGTTATAAAAACAATATTAAACCAGCCCACATATTTCATCTCCTGATGAGATGTAATTGAGCTAATATCTAAAGGATTTAGCCATGAAAAGGAAGGTGGGGATATAAGATATTCTAAACAGAGGGAACAGCATTGCAAATGCTCTTTGGCATGTAGGAGCCTGGCATACACAAAAGTCTGGGGGGAAAAAAAGGAGGACTGAAGAGAAGACAGCAAGGGGGCAAGTGCTGTGTGATGAGAATGGAGAGGTCAGGAGAACTAGTCCTTGAGGAACCACGTGGGTCCTTCTTAGAAGTTATATTTTCTATCTTAAGACTGAAGGTAAGCCACTAACGTTTTTTAAGAAGGAGTTTAACAGGATATCAGATTAGTATCTTGTTAGAAATCATCGTGGCTTTCATATGACTAATGCAGTAAAGGAGTATAAAGGTAAATATAAGGAAACTAGCTGGATGACTAATTTCTCTGGATGGCGGGGGGTGGAGGTAGCGAGGATAAAGTGGGAGAAGGGAAGCAAGAGATGACAGAGATATTTAAGGAGGTGAAATCCATGGGATTAGGTAATCAATTGGGTAAGGGGTAGAGAAAGAATGCTAGAGTGCCTTCTAGTCTCTAGCTAAACAGAATGAAAGGCGATGCCTTTCATAGAGACAAAAAAAAAAGAGAGGATCAGGTTGAGGGGGCAGAGAGCAGAAGAGTGCGTGACAGGTGTGACACTTTGAATTTGAGATATCTTTGAAATATCCAAGGGGGGTTGTCAAGTAGGAACTGAATATGTAAATCTGGAGATCAGAGGGGAGGTTGGGACTAGAAGTATAAATTCATGAATCATCTGTCAAAGGATGGCATTTGAAGCTAAGGAAGAAAGTCAGGTCTTCTAGGGAGAAAGTATACAGTAAAAAGAGGGGCAGAATAGACCAAAATTTAATAGCAAGGATTAAGAGAATGAGCCTGCAAGGGAAGGAAAGAGAGAAGAAGCAGACAGACATGTAAGATGAAAATCATTACAAGCCAAGGAAGACAAGAAAGAAGGAGTGGTAAGCATTACTAGATGGTGCTAGGAGATGAAAAAAAAAAGAGTAAAACAAAAAGATATTTGTTGAAGGTCATTGGTAGATCAGTGGAAACCTCAAGAAGAGCTATTTTGATGAAGTGATTCAGCAGAAACTATACTGAAATGGTTTGAAGGGAGCTGAGAAAATTGAGACAGTGAGTATGAACATTTTCCCAAATATTTCACAGTCAAGAGATAAGATGTAGTGCTAACTGAAGGCATTATGGGTCAAGAAAAAGTTGGGTTTTTGTTTTTGTTTTTGTTGTTTTGTTTTTTGTTTTTGTTTTTTTTTTTTTTTTGCCTTAACTTAAGAGAGTTGAATAGGATGCCTAGGTGGCTCGGTAGTTGAGCATCTGCCTTTGGCTTGGATAATGATCCTGGAGTCCCACATCGGGCTCCCCGCAGGGAGCCTGCTTCCCCCTCTACCTATGTCTCTGCCCCTCCCTGTGTGTGTGTGTGTGTCTCTCTATGAATAAATAAAGTATTTTTTAAAAAATAAATAAATAAAAAACTAAAAAAGAGAGATGAATAGAAAAGGATCTAGCTGCAAGAGAAATCTTGACTATGAAAAGAGAGGAAACAGTGCTAATGTAAACTTCCCCAAAAGGCCAAGAAGAAAATGAGCAGAGAAGGGATCAGCCTCAGAGAAGAGGTCACTTTCCTCTTATGACCTAAGCTGAAGGTGGAGCAAAGGGGTTCAGATGAAGACAGGTCTGCCGCTTGGTGCTGGGAAGATGAGAAAATCCTCTACTTATGACTTCTATTTTTCCTTGAAAACTGGAAAACAAATCATCAGTTGAGAATAAAAAGGTAGAAAAAAACCCAAAAGTTAAGGAAAGTGGAAAGTGTAGGGAAAATTCAGAGGAAGGTGGATTTGAAAAAAAACACACAAAAATAAGATTGTCACTTTTGTTATCTAGAACGTATAGTCGTACCAATGTATTCTGTTATAATTTTTCCAGGAGCATTTGACTTCATAGGTACAGGCAGAGAGAGAGAGAGAGAGAGAGAGAGATTAAGTAATTGAGTTCTTCCAGCTTTGGGATTTTGTCAGACAGAAACACTGAAAGGAGAGATCAAGAAGAGAACTTGGGATATTAGCAAGTGTTCAGAGAATGATTAATAGTGAAATCTAAGTTGGACAAGTTGACAGTGGAAGAAAGAATGAATGGAATGTGATAAAGCAGAGAAGCAATGGTCTATATATTTTTATGAAGTCGAAGAAAAGTGGCATTTTATTCAGCCAACAAGTATTTGTGCCAGGCACTGTGTTAGGTGTTGGTAATATAGTAGTAAATCAAATAGACCCCCCAAAACCTGTGCCTTCATGAAGTTTATATTCTCGGTTAGTGGGAGAGACAGAAAATAAACCATCTAAATAAAATAGATTATATACTGGATGGTGATAAAAGCTAAAGGACAAAATAAAACAAAGAAAGGACACAATATACATATGTGTGGCTGTGTATGTTGGGGGATGAGGACTGGTAGGTTGAGGTGCAACATAAAGAGCGTGGCCTAAGGAGTAGGAATAGCTTAAAATGCAGGCCAGAAGGATTGAAGATAGCTGTTAAATAGGAAGATTTGGGGAATTAGTATTTTTGGATATGGAACAATTTTTGGTGACAAGGCCCAGGATGTGACTCTAGAAATGATTACTGAGAAGTGAAGATCACTGGGGGTTACGAAACCTAGGAACTAAAAATCCAAGATTTCAATCTTGGGATCAGCATTAGTACTACAGGCTTGGGGTGGAGAGGAAAGCTGTTTCAAGTATCAAGATCATTGTAGAGAGAGAGGGATGAAGAGAGAGACTTGTAGGCCAGGGAATGAAAACAAGATGCACGAGAGATGATGCCAAAGCTGAATAAATGGTCTTCAGAGGAGAGATTTCTCTGTCTTTTGTTTCCAATTTTGTTTAAGAAAAAAATAGAACAGAACAGTAATTGTTTGAACCAGAAATAGGGAGCAATTAGACTTTTATCTCTTAATTTGCAGAATAGGCATAATAATAGTACCTCTTTGATTTCACCATATTAAATAAAACAATATATAAAAAGTGCTAAGCACTTGGCTTGGTACCCAGTAAACACTCGATACAAGAATTTTTTTTTTAATATTATGATTATTAAATAAACTGAATTCTTGGTGAAAGAGATGACTTTTTGTTTTCTCTCCCAGAGGAAATACACGCCAAGTTTAGAAATAGCTAATGGAAATTTTCCTTTCAAAATTTTGGCGTTGGCTTTGGACTTACCTTACATGCATCTACTTTTCCTTCCATGAATCCAGCACATAGCATTCCTGAAGTTATCAGGCCATCGTACACATCCTTTCTATTACACACATCGGTGCTTATGGTTTCAACCCTGGCTTGCCGAAGTTTATTTTGTGTGGGTCCTATTACACAAACAAACATACACATACAAACAGAAAATGTGTTCCTTGAATATAACTGTATCTAAAACATGTAAAACGCATATATTGCATATTCCTAGGAACAAAAACAAAAGATTATTAACATTAATTATAAGGAATTATTGCCTGATTTATGTTGTTTCATAAGTGTCTAAATGCAAGGAGCTATAAACATGCATATTCCAATATTACATCATATTTGTGAATCTTCAAGTTATTAGAACCCCTACAAAACCATATGTAATAGTGTTCGTGGATACACTTCTTTTTTTTCATGAGAAGAGGGTTCGCCTTACTGATCTTGACCAACTGCTACCCTCTTCTGTATAAGGAAACTAAGTCTCAGGGAAGTACATTTATTTTCTGAAAGTTATTCAAGCAGAAACCAGTGCATGAGCTGCACAGTGCTATTTGCCCTATTCTATGTTATAGTACGTTATTTAGGGGTGTCTTGAAGCATGGGAACAGAACCAATGCCCAAGATATGTTAGCAATCTCATGCCAGTATGGAGAAAGGTTGGAGGCTACATGAAGGAAAGGAAGTAGCTTAGGACTCCAGATTGAAGCTGTTGGTGAGTAGTCCTAAATTAGTGATGAAGGCAGAGAACACGAAAGGAGACTTGTAACAACATCTCATGAAGTCCAGTTGGAGATGGGGCTTTTGGGAAATTTTACACATAATAGAGCTCTGTCAAGAAAAAAAAAAAAAGCCAGGGGTTCCTGGGTGGCTCAGTTGGTTAAGCATCTGCCTTCAGCTCAGGTCATGATCCCAGGGTCCTGGGATCCATCCCCCCACCCCACCATAAAGCTCCCCGTTCAGCAGGGAGTCTGCTTCTCCCTCTGCCCCTCCCCCTGCTTGTGCTCACTTACAAATAAATAAGTAAAATCCATTAGCATTTGTCTCTTACTTTCTTCAGGATGATCTTTGATAGAACCTTAAGCATTTCTTATTTCCCACTTTAAAACAGTTGATCTCTCTCTTCAGTGTGGAATGAGCTAATACCTAGAAATCTTAAGTTCTGGTCTCTGATTTATAGAACAGGTATCTTTCAACACCCATGAGATGAGACAGATGAAAAGAAATATATTTTAAATTAACTAACCAAAATGAAAACTCTCAAAACATTCACAAAACACTTTATGCTTATAATCATCAGAAATCCTCATTAAAATGAGGAAGCATTTAGACAGAAAGAAAGAAAGAAAGAAAGAAAGAAAGAAAGAAAGAAAGAAAGAAAAAGAAAAGCTATATCATTGGGGCACCTAAGTGGCTCAGTCAGTTAAGGGTCTGACTCTTGGTTTCAGCTCAGGTCATGGTCTCAAGGGTTGTGAGACTGAGCCACATGTCGGGCTCTGCATTCAGTGTGGACTTTGCTCAAGATTCTCTCCCTCGCCTTTTCCTTCTGCCTCTCCCCCGCTACTCGTTTCCCCTATGCTCTCTCTCTCTCCATAAATAAATACATAAATAAATACATAAACAAATAAAATCTTTAAAAAGCTATCATTAAGATTGTGATCTGAAGTATATGCTAACTAGGAGTTTCTACCTCTGGGAAACACAATTTAGACTACTCCCTTGTAGTTCCGTAGTAGTATCTTGGCCCTTCTTGTAGCACCTAAAATTGTCCGTTCCTCTCTTCTCTATTAGCCTTTCCTCTTTTTCACTGCTGCTCCAATTAATTGTGGACTCAAGGAAAAGGACCCGATTCCTTTTACTTTCTAACCACACCATCCTGTTCTGCTCTAGGCCATACACATTGGAAGCATCAACATTATTTTTACGAAAAGTATGAAAAGGGATTCCTAGGACAGCTCCTTAGAGTTCAAGATAAATTTGCACTAAGTATATTAGTGTGAACTACTCACCATCATCTACAATGGATCCAAAACCTGTGACAAATACACTTGTTTTAGGTGGCAACTTTATAGATGAATCTGGGAGGCAAACTCTCTGGACTATATTTGAAAACTCAACTCGAGTAGTAAGCTGAGCCAAAGCAATGTCATTTTCATTTGTTTCTCTGTGGTAGTTTTCATGAAGGATAATTTTCCCCAGACTTCGCTGCACTGCAGGTGGTGTTATGGTTGTACCAAAAGTAGCAATCCATTGCCTTGGGTCTTTATTTCTGCAAAAAATTTAAGAGTAAGGTTTGTGATCTTTAACTGTATCTTTTAAAAGAGATTGAGATTGTATTTCTTGGTGCACCTGGGTGGCTCAGTGGTTGAGCATCTGCCTTTGGCTCAGGTCATAATCCCAGGGTCCTGGGATCGAGTTCCACATCAGGCTCCCTGCATGGAGCCTGCTTCTCCCTCTGCCTATGTCTCTGCCTCTCTCTCTCTCTCTCTCTCTCTCTCTCTCTGTCTCTCATGAATAATAAATAAAATCTTTTTTTTAAAAAAAGAGATGAAGATTGTATTTCTCCCAACTACTGGGATTATGCTCCTGAAAAATCTCTCTGGTGGGAGAATTTGCCATTGTTGGCCTTATGGCAAATAGAGTTTAAAATATTAATGAGACAAGTGAGTGTACAAAAGCCCTTAAAATGTAAATTTTACATCCTCTAAAATTAAAAGGAGCACAGCAGCTAATTGGAATTTTCATGCTTTATTTTTATTAACAATAGTAATTGATATTTATAATTAATTGCCAATCTTTTAATTCCTTGTTAAAAACCCTTCAGATTCTTTCTTCTATAATTTCAATGAAATGTGTAGAAATTTATTTTGATTTGTTTTGGTTAATATGGATACTAGGAGGCATTTTCCGTCTGTATCAGACATTCCAACCATTCTTACTTAATGACTTACTTGTTTGCTCTTGTATACTGTAGCTTACTGTGATCTTTGACACAAAGTGTGATCTTCCCTGCTTCACAAACACTTATGTGCACACTGGTTTGTTTCTCCACCCTCTGCCCATACACTATCCAGATATTGAAGAACTAAGCAGATCTAATTCAATGTCATGCTGTTAGACTCTCCCCTTGCCCCACCACTCCTGCTTTTGACCTGGTCTGGTCAGTCCCTTTTAGCATTTTTGAGGATCTTCCCCACACAGAAGCTTTTCTCTCCCACAAGCTTCCATTACAAGCAAATTCTCTCTAGTACTACTCTCTCTTTACCTCCCTATTCTTTCCCAAAGCCCAGTTTCCTGTTTTTCTACTTATCCCTGTGAAATATATAGAACCTTGAAATTGTCTGTGTAAAGGAAAATTATGTAGAAGGAGATCACACGGAGAATTCGTAAAGGGGGTTTCCTTGTTCATGCAGGATTACTGTGTTGGTGAATCATGAACTTCTAAATGTAGTAAAAAAACCTGAAAGATCAGTGATTTTCAAAGTATTCTGTACTGCCCTCAGGGATGAGCAGTCTTGGTGTGTCTAAGAGTGGGAGGAAGAAAGGAGGTGGGCATCACAAAGACTTGGAGATGGAGAAGGCTATTTTATTTATTTAATACTTTAAAGGAAGATTTTATTTGACGCAGAAATCTTAGGGCTGTACGACCCAGCAATTGCACTGCTGGGGATTTACCCCAAAGATACAGATGCAATGAAACGCCGGGACACCTGCACCCCGATGTTTCTAGCAGCCATGTCCACAATAGCCAAACTGTGGAAGGAGCCTCAGTGTCCATCGAAAGATGAATGGATAAAGAAGATGTGGTTTATGTATACAATGGAATATTCCTCAGCCATTAGAAATGACAAATACCCACCATTTGCTCCAACGTGGATGGAACTGGAGGGTATTACGCTGAGTGAAATAAGTCAATCGGAGAAGGACAAACATTATATAGTCTCTTTCATTTGGGGAATATAAAAATTAGTGAAAGGGAATAAAGGGAAAGGAGAGAATGAGTGAAAAAATCAGTGAGGGTGACAAAACGAGAGACACCCAACTCTGGGAAATGAACAAGGGGTAGTGAAAGGGGAAATGGGTGGGGGGTTGCAGTGACTGGGTGATGGCAACGAGGGGGGCACTTGGCGGGATGAGCACTGGGTGTTATGCTATATGTTGGCAAATTGAACTCCAATAAAAAAATTAAAAAACAGAAATCTTAGGGCTGAAGCATCCTTTTGAAAACTAGAAATCTGGAGGATACAAAGAAATCTATGACTTGCCAGTCCTTAAGAGCTCATAGACTGAGTAGATCAAATAGAAATACCCTATCCCTGCATGTATTGTCCACTAAAAAGGGATCTCATGGAATAGACTCAATTCAATCAATATTTTATGGATAAAGATACTGAAACTTAGAAGTTAAATGACTCACTCAGGTAAATATATATATCCAGATATATATAAAGTTATATCTTTAGTGTCAGGAAGAGACAGCATGGCCTTGACATGCTGTCAAGAACTTTGTTCCCACCCACACTGTGTCACGAAGATTGGGATCAATTTTCATGGACCTAAGGGTATGAAGATTTGTCTCAAACACAAGTCTTAAAAATACTCTATTTCTGTAGAAAAGATACACTTATAATAATTTCAAAGTTATTTGGATAATTGTGATATTCTCCTCAAAGTACACTGTATTTTTCTTTCATGATAGTATAATACAAGGTGCAATTATAGCATTGGGAGAGTTATATCACCCCCAAAATTGAACTCTTTTTCTCCAGGACCATCACCTTTCCCAACTGTTTTGAATTATCACATTTGGCATAAAAATATACTATAATATCTAAAAAATTCTTCTTTTGAGTCCACAACCACCCTTAACTGTCAAATTTCTCTGTTCCCATTCATTTAAAAACTCCTTGAACGTGGTATCTAAACTCACAGAATCCAAGTATTTCTTCCAATTCTCTCTTGAATTTATTCCTCTCCCCATCATACCACTAATACTAGTGTCTCTTATGAAGGTCACCAGTTATGTCTACTTTATCACACTCAGTGGCTGATCTCTGTTAGATGATATCTCACACAGACTTCACTCGACCTGCTGAGACATGTTTTTCAATCATTGTATTTTATATTCTGCATTAGATATTAATAAATTGACATTCTGGGTTTATTTATCTCTAATTTATATAAACAAAGGTCAGTTATAAACTAAAATGGGGGGTGCCTGGGTGGCTCAGTCAATTAAGTGTCTGCCTGTGGCTTAGGTGAATTCCTAGAATTGAGCCCCACATCTGGCTCCCTACTCAGCAGAGAGCCAATTTCTCCCTCTCCTGCTCCCCCTGCTTGTGCTCTCTCTGTCAAATAAATAAATAAATAAATAAATAAATAAATAAATCTTAAAAAAAAAAAACCTAATATGGATGACACCCTCCAAAACAAGTGCAAAAATTGGAGAACTACATGAACTCCAAAATCAGAAAGCTTTAAATTAATGGAACTCAAGTTCCCCTAAAGCATGATGCTAATTATTTTGAGGATTATAAATGTATATAAGTGAATCCCTTTTTTTCTCTAATGATAGAGTGACAGTCACTTTAAATCCCCTGGTCATTTTCATTATACCTCTACCCATAAAGAAAGGTGTAGACACCTTGGAACTATTTGGGTGTTACTCTTGGAAGAATGGCAAAGAGCCCCCTCATATACCAACCATAGTTTCCTCTGAAAAAGAGTGTGAACAATGCCACTGTCCAGGGCTTTATTCAGAGCTTTTGTCTTTTGAGAGTTTAAAAGAAGCCTCAGGGAGGAGAGATGAGTTGTGCTTGATCTCCTGGGGCAACAGGAGGTCCATGTATGTGAACTGACACAGCTGAATCTTAGAAGTGTAGCTGTGAAAGCCCAAGCAGCGCACTCCTGTCAAGTCATATATGATGAGTTTTCAGAAAGGCAGTCAAACAGGATGGCAAGTCCCTCTTGTCATACACATACTTCTCTGAAACACACAGCTCACATGGTTCTTAAAGGAAGAGCTCCAAGAGTGTTATCCTTCATTTTTTCTTACCTATAAAGTGATGGTGGATGTTGACAGAGAATAAAGGGGTTAATCAGAGAGAAAGAATGTTAACAGAAGCAGCTGAATTTTTTTCTTCAGTACATGGAAGAGTTTATATTTGTTACGTGTATAACAATCAGTCTTGACACTTAAAATAATTTATGATAGAGTAGGAAAGATAACACTAGTGTTATGATAATATGGGAAAATAAGTGGTTGGAACCATAAGAGTGAAACAAACCAAACATCATAAATATTGAGAAAAGAGAGAAAGGAGCACATGAATGAGGAGTAGAGCAAGCATCATGCATTTAGAGGACAGAGCAGGATCCATTCCGAATGGAGTAAAAGAGAAACTGGTGAGCTAAACTTTCGCCAAGCGCTGAACTGGTGGCAATTGATGACCAGGCAAAGAAGACTCACAACTGCCCTGTGAACTTACTTGCGGAAGCAGTGAGCTGCTGTGAGCAGCCATGTGTTACTGATGAGGCTGGCTCCACACTGATGACCTGCCCCTATGAGCTGGAGACTGGCCTGCCATGGCCACTCTCCTTCCATGGCTGTTTCCCTCCCTTGGACAATCCTTTCAGTAGAAGAGGATGCTGGTAAAGGCATGTTTGAAGATGTCATCCTTATTCCACAGCCTGTCACAGAAATACATGTTAGCTTGTTTTCATGAAAAGGAGGACAAAAGAGCATATGCTGATTCACACTGGGTGCAGATGCTTTGGCAGTCGCTTGTGCCTACTCTTCTTTAACCTTTTCCTGGGACTCAGTGTCTGAGGTTAGTCTGCAGGGGTCCTTCTGATCCTGTTGAGGTTCAGAAGAAATATTGACTAATCCATCAAGGCATCCAGTCTGGGGATTAACTTCTTGTCTCTCCCTATTAAGCATATATGGATGGATAAATAGAGAGGTAGATAAGTAACTTATTGAGCATTAAAAACATACAGGTCCTCTGCTAAGTATTTGGATTTATTTATAGCAACAGACTTCTCAGATGAGAAAACTGCGTCTTGGAAAGAGAACATAAATTTCTGGAGGTCACTCAGCTGGTGAGTGACATAAAATTAGGAGGATCTACATCAAAGCTTATGTTCTTGCTCCTGAGAGAGGGCCCACTACTGAATGCAGGTCATGATTCTCCCTTGACATGAATTTATACATTGTCTTTGCAAGCCTTGAATTTAAAGTCTTAATAATGACCTTTTTTGGTTTTCTAAAACTTGAAACACTAATTTTAAAAAAAATTCTGATTCCCTGACAACAAACCTTTAATTTGTTAGAGCTCAAATCAACCTTAATAAAACTTGAAAGAATATTGATATATTTTATTAATGTAACTTTTATTTTTATTTTTTATTTTTTTAAAAGATTTTATTTATCTTTTAAGGAGGTGGGAAGGGGAGGGGAGGGACAAAGAGGAAGGAAGAGGGACAAGCAGACTCTGTGCTGAGCCTGGAGCCTAATGTGGAGCTCTACCTCATGACCTTAAGATCTTGATCTGAGCCAAAATCAAGAGTCAGACACTTAACTGACTGAGCCACCGAGGTGCCCCTATTTTTATTTTTTGTAAATAAGCTCTGTACCCATTGTGGGCCTCAAACTCATGACTCCAAGATCAAGAGTTGCGTGCTCTACCAATTGAGTCATCCAGGCGCCCCTATTAATATGCTTTTTAATTATTTATATTTTTATTAAAAATGCTAGTTTTTTTCAAAGAGGAATTTTCTTCCAGAAACTTGTTAAAAATAGATGCCTGAGGGATCCCTGGGTGGCGCAGCGGTTTGGCGCCTGCCTTTGGCCCAGGGCGCGATCCTGGAGACCTGGGATTGGATCCCACGTCGGGCTCCCGGTGCATGGAGCCTGCTTCTCCCTCTGCCTGTGTCTCTACCTCTCTCTCCCTCTCTCTGTGACTATCATAAATAAATAAAAATTTAAAAAAAAAAGATGCCTGAAATCATATTTATAGATTCGTCATAATTCCCTCAGAGTCAAATAGCTCCAGTTTAAAGTGACCATAAAATTGAACAAATGGAATTTCTAGGGTAATATAAGTGTCGTATTGGTAGTGCCTAATACTTACTTCCTCTCCCACCTTCCTCTTATAACATACATGGAAGTAATACTAATATACATAATATCTACTAGTTTTGAGCAAAAACCTTGTATTCGTGTTACATATATTTTCTCTAATTTTCATAACAGCTCTCTCTGCTAGGTGTCACCCTCATTTGTAGATGAAAAGTCTGAGTCAATGGTATTTTTCAAAGACAAAAGGAGCAAAATCACCATAACTTGAGGAAAGATAAGACAAAAATTATAAATTCTGATAGAAACTACAATATCCATCGGGGTTTGAAAGTAACTTCTTGGACTACCCAAACTCTATTCTGGGAACTAGAATCCTGGTAAGCTCTGACAAAGACTTTGGCTCACTGCTATTGTGATTCCCCAGCCCCGGAAATAAAACCACACTGCACTTGTTCCTAGCCAACCAGAAACTACAGTTTAAATTATCCAATTGTGACTCAAACACTTTTCTTCCTCTGTATCTATGCAGAAGCCACATTTCTTGACATACCATCCTACCAAGAGATACAGGACAAATGAGAAATTCTATGAAAATGTAGTGGTCTCAATGTGAACCCCTCAAATTTATGTTAAAATCCTAACCCTTAGAGGTGATAGTATTTGTATATGGGGACTTTGGAAGATGCTTAATTATGAGGGTGGGGCCCTCATGAATGGGATTAGTGCCTTATTAAAGCGTCTTCAGAGAGATCCATAGCCCTTTCTGCTCATGGCATGATAATACTTTGTTTTTTTTAAGTTTTATTTTTTTAAGATTTTATTCATTTATTCATGAGAGACACAGAGAGAGGCAGAGACACAGGCAGAGGGAGAAGCAGACTCCATGCAGGGAACCTGACGTGGGACCCGATCCCAGGACTCCAAGATCACACCCTGGGCCGAAGGTAGGTGCTAAACCACTGAGCCACCCTGGCTGCCTGCATGATAATACTTTAAATCCGTGTTGGAAGAGGTCCCCCACTTGACCATGCTGGCACCTTGATCTGACACTTCCAGCCTCCAGAACTGCGGGCAATCAATTTCTGCTGTTTATAAACTACCCAATCTATGATATTTTGTTACAGTACCAAGAAACTGAGATGCCTCATGAAAGCAATTTAAACAGTGAAAGGAAGAACAGTGACATCAGTAAATGCTGCATTTGGTGGTGCAAAGGGGGAGGTTGATGTAGTTTTCATAAACTCTGTATATAAGATCAAAACTTAAGCCTGCATCTAATGGTATAGCATGATTAGGGCCCCTCAAATCAGATGATATATAAACTCAGAAGACAGAGATATCTCTGAAAGTTATTTCCTACAAAACATTTTAGAACATGTGTTTGGTACCAACCAAGTTGAACAAGAAAATATGATCTTAATGTAATAAAAGTAGCCAAACATAAGGGAGAGAATAATCAGTGAGGAGACAAAACACAAGAGATGTCTATAATTAAATAAAATTGAACAAATCATAGACACATCATAGCAGATGTGAAATCCACATGGGAGAAGAGAAAAAGTTATACCAGACAACAGAGATAAGGGTTGTGGGGAGCAGAGAATTGATAAGATCTTTCTGAATGCAGAGAAAGTGATCCGAAATGGATCTAGAAATAATGATTGATACAGAGCGCAGAAAATGGAATTCAAATAAATCATTTGTGTTCCTGAGGGGAGCAAAAAAGAACAACTGGAATGGAAATCAATCATCAGATTTATAATGGAAGAACATTTTTCCAGAATCAGGAAAAAAAACAGTATACAGATTGGAAACATTCAAAATGTCCTAGTCAAAATTCAGTGCAAAATATACTTACATCTAGCTTTCTTGGGATAAGTTACAGGATAAAGATTTCCTACATTCATCCCAGAACAAAAGAGATAACCTACATACGAATAAAAATTGCAGCAGCCTTAGATTTCTCCACTACAACAAAACACTAGTAGAAAGTGGAACAATGTGTATAGAATTTATAAGGGAAAGTGGATGACCCGACAATCCTGTAAGAAGTTGAGATAAAGGAAATGGGATGGCGAAGGCAGAAAATGTGCATGCCAGATATTTCAGCAAAAACACAAAAAAACTGAGATATTTCAACAGGAAAAAGCCTAACTACTTACCACCTTAAAACATTGTTTTGAATTGTGAGAGAAAAATAAAAGAGAAATACTTAAAGATAATATTTTAAAAAACAATGTTAGTTACAAAACTTATAATAGCAAGAATTCTATGAAATTTGTGGGTTTTTTTTTTATTACATCCTGCAAGTGATAAAACTTGAAATTGTAGGGGCATCTGACTGGCTCAGTCAGTTGAGTGATCAATTCTTGATTTAGGCTCAGTTTGTGATTTCAGTGTCCTGGGATCAAGTCCTGCGTAGGGATCTCTGCTCAGTGGGGAATCTACTGAAGATTCTCTCTCTCCATGCCTCCCCTCTGTGCTCTCTCTCTCTCTTTGCCTCTCTAAAATAACTTTTTAAATCTTTAAAAAAAAAAGAAAAAAAAAACCTTGAAATTATATTTGGTGTAAATTATAAATTTAAATGCTTGAAATATTAAAAATAAGCAATAATAAAAGCATCAAGTATTTGGTTCACAAAAACAAAAGATGAGCAAAAAAGGCTTTATAAATTCTACTTCTAACTTTTCTGTGGCTTTTATTCATTATCTTTGCTATGAAACAGACAGTTAATTGTGGGTTTTGGAACTTACGGCTGTTGAGAAGATTTCTCATCTTTTTGCTGTCAATAGCTGGAATAAACAAAACATTAAATTACTTGGTAGAAGAATATATCCCTGTTTTTTATGTGATTTTGTTCAAATAGTCACTATAAGAAATGCTTATTATCCAAAGCATCCATCTTTTAAGAGGGTATGAGATTTTTCATAGCCAAGTAATATATACATAATTCTGATTTGTTTTGGTCCAAAATGTATAATTTTACTTTAAAATGAAAAGACAACACTGTTGTTTTCTAACTTTTGCTATGAGATCTGAAAAAGAAATGAGGAAATTAGGAAAGAATGGTAAGGATAAATGTCCCTGATTGCCTTCTTTGGAGGTTCCGGTATAACTCGCGTAACACCCTCCAATTCCCACCACAACTGGTGCTCACTATATTAGATGCACCAGCCTATCTGTGCCAGGCATAACCCTGGTGGCCAGTGTTGAAAGGGAAGCTCCAGGGAGCTAAGGGCATCATAGGCCCCTCACAGCCCAGGTGGTAGCCCTGGTCTACAAAGGATAGGCTTTCATTCAGTGCAGGTTGCTGGCCTTCTCTTGCTAAGGATTCTTCCTCATGATGAATATTGTAGAAGGTTCCAGGTGAGGCCCAGGCATGAGAGGCATGAAGGTTTTTGACATCCAGCCAGTCCGAGAGCCCCATCAATACTACTTTATGCCTCTCTTCTGTGACATCTTTTTCCCTTCAAACTTCTCTTTGTGTTCATTTAAGTTTAGTTTCATTGCATTTGTTTGATGTTTGTTTTGTTTTGTTTATTTGACAGAGAAATTAGGGAAGTATATGATGATTTCCTCAGGAACACTGACTTCCTCAAGGGAGGGATGTGAGCCCCAAACCCTACCAGAGGTTTCCTGGACGTTTCACTTCTCTTTATTTAATGAGAGATATATTTGCGGAAGAAAAAAAATATTTGTAGTAGAATTTTTGTTATTGAATATTGTCATAGAATATAGCTATTTTGATATTAAAACAACTGTGTAATAAAAAGTCAGTGTACATAACCAAGAAGTCTGAAAAATTATTTTTTTAAAAAATTGTAAAAATTACTTTTAAAAAAATTGCAAAAAAAAAACCCACCCCTTTAACATATCTTTTGTGATGGATATTTTATTTTAGCATAAATGATCCTGCATTAGGGGCAAGTATATTATCAGGAATTGAAATTTAATTTAAGATTGCCATTTATAGAATGCTGAAAAATATGTTTTACTTTGGAATTTAATTAACACGTAAGGTGGATACCATATTCTTCACTATTTCTAATTACTTCATGAAAGTTGCCATTAATGTGTGTGAGGCTTCTATCTCAAAATGGACTTTAAGGATTTTCTTGATTTCTAACAATGAAGAAATTACCTTTAGACAATATTTTTCTTAAATTCATTGATGCTTCAGGGAGAGAAGACTTTCCAGTCCAAAGGGCAAGACTTATTTCTTGATAATAAATCAGAAGTAGCTGCCCTTGCAGTACTTAATCTGAACAGTGAACACAACTGGAACGCCTATTATGTGTAATACTTACACTAGCATTTGTGGGGAGGGGTAAGGAACTAAAAAGACACACTACCTGACCTTGAACTTAGCATTTGAAACACATTATTATGCCTCTCAGTTTGGATTCCAAGCTGTGAAGTAATTTTAATTTCTTAACGTTTTTACCTCATTTTCTTCTACTTTCAGGGAAAAACAAAAGTTTTCTGATTTTGTCTTGTGAGGAATAAATAAGGGAAATAAATGACCCATCATTTGAAACTGGAAATAACCTACAGAACTTCACAGATCATGTCAATGGTTCACCCTCCAGATTTAAATCTTCATAAAGATGTTCGTTTCCCTGCTACTGTAGAAGCTAACCCCCAGAACTGACCTGTAAAGACCTCTGGGAGTCAGAACACCTGTGCTTAATTTTGGCCCCAAGGCTTCCTAGGTCCATGACTTACATCTTCCTTGAGTCTCAACTTCCTTAAAATGGTGAAAATTATACCTACCCTCTCATGCTTTTGAAGAGATCCAACATTATATATGGGGGAAAACTTAGAAACCTTAGCAAAAGCCCTCATCAAATATGAAAATAAATTCCTAAAATTAAACTTTGCCTTACAGTGAATTTTTATTTTAGTTTAATTCCACACCAATATGTGTGTATCAGTGGTAAAGTCTTAAAATGGGAGAAGACATTGATCTAAATTCTTATGAAAAATAAAGAGGATTGCAAGGGAACCACAAAGATGGTAAAAAGACTTACATGTGAGTGTAAAGGATGGTCTGTTTATAGTCAAAGGCAACTGCTTTGTCTTCAGACTTTCAGATAAAATCCTTTCAATTTTTTTCTTAATTCCCTCAGCACTATCAGTAGATGGATATCGAAACATGAGCACCATAAGAATTTTCATACCGTGTTCATCTGGGCTGAAAGCAAAAAAGCAGATAAAGCCACCTCTCTAATCATTAACTATTTTTGTCTATTAAGATTCATATTAAATTTTTTAAAAGAGTGGATGAAATAGGTGTACATCAGATTTCTAAATTATCTCTAGAAATACTAGCTCAGATACATAGCTGAAAAAATTTGTTCTTGCTCCTTACTTAGCTCATAATCTGCAGGGGGTTGGGAAAAGAGATGTTCATGAAATCATGCTTCATATGCACTTGTTTAAATTTAATTTGCTTTTTTAAGACAGTCTGGACCATCATAATCAACATCATTTTTCAATAGTGAAATGGCAGAGACGATGTTTTTTGTTCATGAAACCCAGTTACGTTTGCCTCTTGAGCACAAAGCTAGATTTCATTTCCTGGCCTCCTTTGCAGTTCACTGAAACTCTAGTGAATTCTGGACAATGGAATGTGGACAGAAATGACATACCTCACCTCCAACCTGGCCTCTGTAACCTCCCGTACCATCCTTCATACTTTCACTTTTCCCGTATTGCCAACCAGATGCAGAATCCAGTGGGCAATTCCATTCTACATCCCTCCTAGCATCCACATCTCTGTTGCCACTTCTGACTCTTTGGACTATGTTATGGAGATGAAGTAAACCTTTACTGTGTTAAACCATTTATATTTTGGGATTTGATGGTCCGTTAATATGTGTTTTTAAGTGGATAATTATTGAAAGCACTTATTAAAGGAAATCCTTTGATAAAGGGATCACATATTATACTGTAATGTATAGGTCTAGAAAGCCTCCAGTTGCCCTTCAGAGGAAAATTTAACCTTAAAACAAAGAATCAGAGAAGGAAGGAAGGAGGGAGGGAAGAAAGAAGGGAGAAAGTAAAGAAGGAACAAAAGTGGAGAGGGGGAGAGAAGACAAGGCAGGAGCTCCCTAACCATGTGTATATGTACTTTACCATCAAGAAGTGAAGCAGACAAGTACGTATTACAAATATTTATATTTGAATATGGATTGATAGCAAATAAGTTTAAAATTTTCCATCAAAATGGGTAGAAAATCTCTCTCTCTCTCATGAATAAAATAAATAAAATTTAAAAAAAAAGAGTGGGGGGTGCCTGGGTGGCTCAGTAGTTGAGTGTCTGCCTTTGGCTCAGGTCGTGATCCTGGGGTCCTGGAATCGAGTCCCACATCGGGCTCCCTGCAGGGAGCCTGCTTCTCCCTCTGCCTGTGTTTCTGCCTCTCTCTGTGTGTTTCTCATGAATAAAATAAATAAAACATTTTTTTAAAAAATGGGTAGAAAACAAGATATATTATTCCAGTAAATGTCAAGCATTTTGGACATGATATAAATAGTATATTCAAGATGGATTCTAATAATTTATTTGAGTCTCTTACAACAGACATATGTTCAATTTATGCATACTGCCTTTTATCAGAAGTAAAAATGAAAAGGTATTAGAAATAATAAAAATGCAATGGCATTAAGGAAAAACCTTATTACACAGAAAGCCGTGATCTGTTGTTGGTTAGGCTTAGAATGAGGATAATTAAAAAGAGCTGATCTAAATTCTCGTTAGCCCTGAGCTGAAGGAGCAAGTGTGTCACCTGTGCCATTCCTCCCCTTCCAATGTCTGCTTTGACATTGCCTCTTGACGTTGGGCATTTTACCTCTTCTTATTGTGACTGGGAAATACCTATGCAGCATAAGGTGAACTGCTCAGGATTTATGAAGTATCTATATTTCTGCAAAGATTTGCCTGGGGGAGGTGGGCAGTCATGTTAATCAAGTGTTTCTCAAGGGTACGGGTGTGAAGTTGTGAACTAAGTTTACATACCTCAGTTTGATAACATGAGATTTGATAAACCGACCTCCTCCAGAAGAACGTCGAAATATCCTAGACATCTGGTTAGAAAAATTAAATGAGAGAAGTATTAGTTATGGAACAGTTAGTTACTTCTTGGTTTTTCTAGAGTTGAGGCAAAGACAATTTTGGTTTATTCCCAGATTGGAACTGGTTTATCATAGTGGTAAGACTAAAAGAGATTTTAATAGAGATTTTAATCCTTGCAGAAATGACAACTTTAACAAAATCGTTACAGTTATCCTGTAAAAAAAAAAGGATAAAAACAATATTTACCTCATAGAGTTTTTTTTTGAAGATTAAATGAAGTCATGTTTATCACACATTTCATACCTTACCTGGCAGACAGTAAACTATTGATAATGTTCATTTTGACTATTATCAAGTGAATTTAAGTATCTGTGTTATTTTTAAAGGCAGCATAGCATCCTCACTTTTAATTTAATTTAATTAATTTATATTTTTGAGAGGGAGAAAGAGAGTGAACATGAGCAGGGTGGGGAGGTGCAGAGGGTGAGAGAGATAATCGCAAGCAGACTCTATACCCATTGAGGAGCCTGAGGCGAGGCTGGATCCCATGACCCTAAGATCATGCATGACCTGAGATGAAATCAAGAGTTGGACGCTTAACTGACTGAGCCACCCAGGCACCCCAGCACCCTCACTTCTAAGAAAGCCCACACGAAGTTTGTTTTACTCTTCAATGTGGCACCTAGTCCACCATTTGTATTAACTCGTTGCTCTCTTAAATGGTTATCCCATGACTAGAGCATTTGTCACAGTAAGTAACAATGTGTGTTATTTGACTCTGATACCCTCACTTGTTAGTCACCTTTCCGAGGCAGGCAGGCTTTCACAACTCCTATCAGCTTTGGGAATAAGTTTCACCACACTTCATGGGGTCAGCATTTCATTTCTCAGCTTTTCCAGCCTGTGACATTGAAGGATTTAGATGCTCAGTGAGCTGATTTCCCAGGACCCAATTCCCGAAAGACTATTGAGGTAGTGCCTCACAGGAAGAAGCACTAGACTGAGAGCCAGAAATCAGAAATTACAAGTCCACATAAATTTACATAAGACCCACCTTCCTGGTAAATCTTGCACCCCCAATCCTACACCCTCTGGGCAGAGGGAATATTGCCTCCCACCCCACAAGATTTCTCCCTCTCCCTGACTCCTTTAAACTAGTAACAATGCTCAGTAGACTTTACCTACTAAATATTGAATCTCCCTCCCTTCACCTAATTCCACTATGGTCTAAGATCAACTCCTCCAAAACTTGTGCCTGGGCCTCTATCCCCTCATTGGCATGTTTATGTGATTCTACTCTGTCCTTTCTCCTCTCAGTTGCTCCCCAGCAATGCTACCAACCAGGTGATATGCCTGAAGTACAAAACTGAGCATGTTACACTCCTGCCTCAAGCTCTGTGCTTCCCTTAGTGTGAGCTCCACAATCTTATGCTTTCATTAGCCCTTGCCCCACCCTTACCTTCAAAGACTATTTTCTTATCTTCTGAACTACTTGCTCTTTCCTAATCTCACTAGACTGGTTCATACCTCTATGGCTTTGCACATTCATTTCCTTCTCCCTACAATGCACTTTTTTTTTCCCTCTAGCAATTCCTTTAATGACAATTCTGTCAGTATCCAGACACTCCGGTGGCAAATAAGTTTTCTTTGACTTGCCCTCCCCAAAGTTCAACACTCCTTTATTTGGGCCACCCCAGCATCATACCAGTGTGTTCCTTTCCCATACAGTTGTTCCTTTTCCACTCTGGCCTGTGAGCTGTATGATGGTAGGGAGTGGGTCTGATCCATCTTTTTATCTTCAGTGTTTTGAACACTGCCTGGCCCACAGTAAACATTCAATGCATGTGGGCAGCCCGGGTGGCTCAGCGATTTAGCGCTGCCTTCAGCCCAGGGTGTGATTCTGGAGACCCCAGATCGAGTCCCACGACGGGCTCCCTGCATGGAGCCTGTTTCTCTCTCTGCCTGTGACTCTCTGTCTCTGTCTGTCTCTCTCTCTCTTTCTCTTTCTCGAATAAATAAATAAAATCTTAAAAAAAAGATAAATCAACAATATGGTAAAGAGAAGAAAATAACAACACACTGTTCTGTTTTATCTGCAAATCATGTTGCCAAGTATAAATAGAAATCCACGGGAGGGCAGCCCTGGTGGCCCAGCGGTTTAGCACCACCTTCAACCTGGGGTGTGATCGTGGAGACCCTGGATCGAGTTCCACGTCGGGCTCCCTGCATAGAGCCTGCTTCTCCCTCTGCCTGTGTCTCTGCCTCTCTCTCTATCTCTCTGTCATGAATAAATAAATAAAATTAAAAAAAAAATCCACGAGTTTCTAAAGCAAGGTGGGAGCCAGGAGCCTCCAGTGGTGAAATCCTTTTATAGGTCACTCCAGGGATCTGGATCACTTCTGAGTGATGATTTCATTAAGCTTCTCTGAGCTCATTTTATTTCCATACCTCAGGGAACAGGGAGAAAGTCCAATGTTAAGGTCTCTAGCACTTTATATACATGTCTCCTGAAATTCTGAACTGTACACATGATAGCATTTGGGGAAGGACCTTGATTCTGTCAGACCAGAGTATAAAAAAGTACTAAGACTCTACTCAAACTAAAATGTGATTCAGAGCAAGACTATCTTCCCCTGAGGAGTCAACCTCTGTTTAAAAATGGGTGAATTCTTGGTACAGTACAGTATTGGTGTGACTAATAATAGCTTACTTGTACTAAGTCCATACTACGGGGTATGCATTGAGCCGGTTCCTTTGTTTAAACCTCATACTACTTAGAAGTAAAGTATTTTTTAAATTCTCATCAGCCTTATTTTAAAGATGAAGAAACTATATCAGGACACCCAGGTAAACTTCTCTAAGGTGGCATAGGGAGTGCTGGTTCTGGCACATGAACCGAGGAAACCTGGCTCTAGAGCTTGTGTTCTTAAGTATATTAAGTGACATTGAAGATCCTGAGTTTCTTATATACCTGATGACAGATGTTTAGGTTGGTGAGGAGTAGAGAAGACCTGCAGCAGGAAACCTTAAAAAGGCCTCAAATACATCTTTTATTTCCTGAATCCAAACTTTGTAAAAAGAAAAAAAATCATCTCTTGGGAGTTTTTTTTTTTTTTCTGCTTCCGAAAAATTGTTCCTTTTCAGACATCTATTCATCACTATAAGCAATTTCTGGAGAAAATTAACTACTGCTTATATTTTTCTACTGAGAACTCAGTAATGTTACATTTAGTCCAAATTACAAAAACTAATTATATCCTTCCCTTTTTATGGTCCAAACCAAAGAATAGATTTTTTTTTAAATTACTCCGTCTAAACCAAGATAGAATCTAAGCTAAAATGGGAAGAAAATCTCACCTTAAAATCAGATCCCACTTGGAGTCCTTGGTTTGACTCCAGCATCAAAAAACAAAACGACATGTTTGAAACAATACTTGTGACTCTGACTAATAGTATATCCAGTTACTATCTTCCACAAGCTTGAGCTTGCCCCTTCCCTCTGGCTGGGAACTGCATGCAGATTAAGTCTTCATGAAAGATCAGTAGTTACTGGATGCCAGCTAGGGAATCCCTTTCCAGGTCCACCCATGAAAATAAGTCAGGCAAGTTCTGCAGATTTTCTGCGACTGTCAGGGGAATATGTAACAACAGAGGGTGAATACACCAATAAAACAAATCCGTTGTCCCTTTCTTCTCCAGGAAAACTTCGTGCTAGCTCAAAGGGATTTTTCCTTCCTCTGAACTCTTAAAATACTATTTGTTCACATCATATATATTTGACAATTGTATTCTGTACTATGACAGCTCTCATACTGCCATATCATCTTGTTTTCTAATCTATCTAGTTTCTATTTTTTTCTGTGCACAGGCTTTCATACATAAACCATAATGCAAACTCCAATAAGGAAGAGACTGTACTATTTAGACCTTGGCATTCTTCACAGTCTTGCACAAAATAGGTGCACGATAACATTTTCATTAACTGATTCTCTAGCTGTGGTTAATTGTAAACAACAGTGCAAAGGGAAAAATGCCAGCTTTTTTTTATTTTTTTAATTTATTTATTTATGATAGTCACAGAGAGAGAGAGAGATATTGAGAGGCAGAGAGAGAAGCAGGCTCCATGCACCGGGAGCCCGATATGGGATTCGATCCGGGGTCTCCAGGATCGCACCCTGGGCCAAAGGCAGGCGCCAAACTGCTGCGCCACCCAGGGATCCCAAAAAATGCCAGCTTTTGCATCTCTTCATGACTCCTTTACTATATTCCCTTTCCTATTTACTCATTTATTTATTCACTCAATGCAATTGATTAGGAATATTATATGCTTAAGGCACTGTGAAAACACTGGATAAAAATCAGTAAACAAAAATCTATGGTCCTTGGACTCATAGAATATATGAGTTGATTATAGACAGTAATCAACAAAAATAAATTAATTACAAGAGACAACTAATATAATAAAGTAATGGAGGAAAATGGCTGGGGGTCTATAATATATAAGGGTTCTCCAAGAGGGACATTTAAGTGGTATCTGAAAGATCAGAATGAATAAGCAACAAAAAGAGTAAGATCATGAGACAATCTTCCAGGTAAAAAGAACAGAATGTGCAAAAAGAAGGCAAATATGGTTAGAATACAGTAAGCAAGGAAGAGAGTGTAGACACTGGGGGAATAATAGTCATAGCCAGGGCACTAAGTTCCTTGGAGGACTTCACAAAAAGCTTGGATCTTATTCTATGCACATTTGGAAGCCACTTATGAAATTTTAAGCAAAATAATATATAATACATTTTTAAAGGATCATGTAGACAATATATTAGAAGTGGCCTGAGTGGAAGCAATGATTTTGGTGAGCTACCTATTTGAGGTAATGCATTAGTTAGCTCCAGGATGGAGACAGTGAATTAGAAGTAGAAACATCACTTGTGAATGGACTAGACATGAGGATGAGGGAAAATAGTATTCTAGCAACTAGATGGATGTGATGTCATTTGTTGAGTGGAAAGAA